TACAGTAAAAAATATCTTCCCATCGTACAAGAATTTGGTATTAAAGTAAATGAGATGAATGCGTATAAGATCTTAGCGGTTGCGCACATGGACAACCAAGAATATGATGATTCTATATCATACAGTAAAAAATGTCTTGCCATTGCCCAAGAATCTGGTAATAAAACACTTGAGATGTTTGCGTACATGATGTTAGGAAATGCTCACTTGAAGAAAGAAGAATATGATAATATTATATCATACAGTACAAAATATCTTACCATCGCACAAGCATGTGGTGAAAAAGTGGTTGAGATGAAAGCGTACATGATGTTAGGAGTTTCCCACTTGAAGAAAGAAGAATATGATGATGTAATATCATACGGTACAAAATGTCTTAACATCGCACAAGAATCTGGTGAAAAAGAAGAAGAGATGAATGCGTACATTATGTTAGGAAATGCCCACTCGAAGAAAGAAGAATACGATGATGCTCACTCCTTCTTTACAGAAGCCGAGACAATTGCGAGGGAACTAGAGGACAACCACAAAGTCTCACATCTTGGAATACGTATTAACGAGATTTATGAAATAGTTGGCGTGTCTGAAGGACATAGTGAATTATCATCACTCCTGAAGACGTTTTTAGGTAGTGTTCAGAAAAATGAAAGTCTTTTCCATTCGTTTTTTCGCTTCTTGCATTATAAAGAAAACGACAAATACGAGGAAGCTATTTCATGTCTTGAGGATTTTATGGCGCACGGAAAGAACAGTATCAATGAAGATGAATATCGTGAACTATTATGGACTTGTAACTTAAACATCTCAAAGTTGCATGTGTTACTTAAGGAGTACGATAAGGGTATACAGTATCAACAAGAAGCACTTGATGTCGCACGCAAACAGGGCTCAAAGTCCAAACAGGCAATGTCCCATTTTATCCTAGGCAAAGTGTATTATAAACTTAAACAGTTTGAGAATGCAGAGAAGCCATTGAAAGAATCGTTAAGATGCTATGAATTGATATTTGTTGGTCTTAAGCAAAACGATCGATTCAAAATAGCTTTCATTGATAAATACAAAGAGACTTTCAAGCTGCTTCTAAAGGTTCTTATTGAAAGAAATAAGAAAGAAGAAGCTCTGGTATTGTCTGACCAATATCGTGCAAAAGCCCTGAAAGATCTCCTTGTTTCAAGCTATGGAATGAAGAAAGAACAAACTGCTGATGAGGATTTACAGTACGCCGATGTCCAGTCTCTTGTCTCCAGCAGTGATTACACTCTTCTGTTTTATTCAACGTGTTTTGACGAGTTGTACACGTTTGTAGTAGAGGCAGGAAACGAGCTTGGATTTTCAGTCCAACATTTTGAATACTGTGATACATGTTTAGACAAGCTCGTTGATGAAACATTTGAAGATATGAAAGTGCGTCAAGTAATCCACTGTGAGGACAGATCATTAGACAACATGCACTACTCTGAAGAAAACAAGAATCCAAAAGAAGATGAATTAACGCAGCTGTTGATTCAACAGAGAGAAAAGAGATTATCAGAACAATGCCGTTCTACTTGTGTATGCAGAGGAAACCCATCGGAAAACTGCGATGAGAGCAGCCTGACTAGTGGCCTGGAAAAATTGTATCAAAAGTTAATAAACAATATCAAGTTTTTGATTAAGCAAGACGAAATGGTCATTATTCCTGAAGGTCCCTTGTGCAGATTACCATTTGCTGCTCTACGGGACCCAGACACGGGACAATATTTGTCAGAAACGAAGCGAATAAGAATGGCTCCTTCGATTGCATCTTTAAAGTTCCTTCAAGAGTACCCAGTAGAGCATCACTCCAGAAACGAGGCATTGATCATTGGCGGTGGCTCCGTTGATCCAGGCAAGGTGGATGGAGTTAAAACTGAATTTATCCCCTTAGAAGGCGCAGAAGAAGAAGCAAAAGGAATAGCTAACATGCTTGGAGTTCAGCCGTTATTGTCAGCTAACGCTACGAAACCCGTTGTCATAAAGAGACTACAAGAAGGAGCGTCTGTTGTTCACATCGCTGCCCATGGTAACCTGGAAAAGGCCACAATCGTACTTGCTCCTTCTTCTGAGATAAGAAAATTAAAGCGGATCCCAGATGAAGAAGATTACATGCTGACCATGGCTGATGTACAGCAGACTCACGTACGTGCACAGTTAGTTGTGTTAAGCTGCTGTGAAAGTGGGCGTGGTGAGATTAAAGCTGAAGGAGTAGTTGGCATGTGTCGCGCCTTTCTCGCGTCAGGTGCTCGTGCTGTGGTAGGTTCCCTATGGAAAATCAACGACAAGGCTACTTGTGAGTTCATGGTTAAGTTTTACAAGTATCTGAAGGACGGCAAGAGCGCTAGTACAAGCCTAAATCTGACGATGAAGGACATGAGAAGAACGCCACAATACAGTGAACCAAAGTATTGGGCTCCTTTCTTTTTGATGGGCGATGATGTGACGATCCAGTTCAAAGATTAGCACAGTAAAGATGAAATTGAAACATTTTTTGAGGAAATTCTCCTTTGGACATTATTTCCTTAAACAGTGAGTAAAATATAACAATTACCAAGTTTAAAGATTCAAAGGATTAACAGTATGTATTCACTTTAGTGCAAAAGGCTCTTTTAGTTGGGAGGGGCGTAGATCAAGAACACGGAAGCGAGGTCAGAGAGGCATAGAGAATATAATGTTCAAGATTCTTGCTTTAGTATCATTTTCTTAGTTTCCTTGTTATCATCATGTCAGTACCTCACAGCTAAAAGGGTTTTGCTACTGTATATATGAAATATTTAGTGTGCGATAAGTTAGAACTATATAAAGCACCTAGTCTAGGACACCGACCCTGATAACGAGAGTTAACTGTATTGATGGGTACCTTCATGTAACCAATATTGAATGACATGTACCTGTGAAGGTGTGAGGTGTGAATTGTAGAGTACCTGAACTAGCTCATGGTATGTTGGTAGAACATTATTAGTCAGCTTTACTTTCTCGTTTTAAACCTTTTTAAAAATTATTTCATTATTAATAAGGTTTGCATAATGATTTAGGATTGGATTTTGACAATGTACTTCAGTCAAATTTCTAGCAAGCATTGAATGCTTATCACAATTAGTTCAAGTCGGGGGAAATCTTAACTATTAATAAGAAAAAGTTGGTTCATTGAACTAATCTAATTTAGTCTAAGAGGATGTAGGGATTCACTGTTTGGGTGGAGGGTAACAATGTTGCCAGTTTGATGAGGTTCTCAAGCCCTATTCTATCTGTA